GTAATCGTACGTACAGATGAAATTAATTAGAAAATATTTAAACTGGGAGGTCCTGCTATTTACAATTGCATCGAGGAAATGGTCCTCGTATGTAACGATACGTCGTAGAGTATAAATTTTGATTTGGCTCTGTGAGTTTTTTGATATTTCGCGATGCACCGCGAAATACCAAAAACTTACAGCCAAATCAAAATTATACTCTACGACGTATCGTTACATACGAGAGCGGATTTCCTCGGTACAATGGTAAATAGCATGACCGCTCAGTTTAAATATTTCTTAATTAATTTCATCTATACGTTTGGTTACTTGAGAACTTGCAATATTTTACTCGATGCATTACACTGTACAGCAAGAAAAAGCACAAGAACGAACCTTGCGGCATTCGATAGTTTTTTGGCCGCAGAAAACGATCCCATTTGCCAAATTGCTCTATCACGTCACAATTTTGACATATTTGCAGTTAGCAAAAATGGGCTATTTTAGTGTATTTTGACATATTACAACTACAATAATGACAAATCATACTTAATTTTGATTGCTTAAAATTCTCCGATACGTCACATATCGCAGTTATAATATGCTAAAATACACTAAAATAGCTCATTTTTGCAACTTTAATGGCAAATATCTCAAAATTGTGACACAGCAATTTGGCAAACGGAATCGTTTTCTGCGTCCGAAAAATTATCAAATGCTGCAAGATTCGTTCTTGTGCTTTTTTTGTACAGTGTAATACGCCGCTGGCAAAAATTTTTGAAACAATAGTATTAATAGTAATTCTGCGTATAATTTCTGTAGTTAGTGTACACTATTTTTAAAGGTAAAAAAATATTGTGTAATCGGAATAGAAATGTAAGACGTATTTTTATTAAAAGTAAAAGTTATTGTAGAATTCACGATTTTTTTCTTATATCATTTTGCAGAAATTGTAGAACTTTACGATGAAGATTGGTGACACACGGAAACTTTTGAGTTTTCTGAACTCGCAATAATCTTTACATTATATATCGATAGCTTAGAGAAATAGTTAAAATTCTCGCGGTCCTATTAAATTACTAAGCATAAAAAGCATCCTTTTTTTTATATAATAGTTTATATAATGTGTACAAACGATGACTAACTACGAAATACGATGTAAATGGCTATTGCAAGAACATGTATACTGCATTTCACGTTATGTATATTGCTTATAATCAGATATTTATGTATTTTTTAGTGGTATCGACAATTAACAAAACATATAAGGAAGTTTAATTTTGATATATCTTTGTATTTTGATTATACATATGAAAAATACTTCCGGAATACAAGTTAGGATGTCGATGTATATCAACGTATACGTATGTATACATCGCTTATGGTCGGTCCCAACATATGCCGAACCATAAAGATATATATATATATATATATATATATATATATATATATATATATATATAATCAGCTGTTTTATAATGAATCAATTGTACGATGAAACAAAGTTATTTATCTGGTTATAATATTTACAGTCCTTGAATCTGAATCCTTTAAACAAAATTGGACAATTCGTTGAATCTAAGATCAGATTTTAGCTTTCTTCCTATTTTTATCCGACATTGTATACTTGTCGTAACTTTTCGTTGGATCAAAAGGTTCCCATCTACTCGCTGGAAAAATATGTTTGTTCCTCTCGTACCATGATCTAATGAGAAAAATAGAAAAATAACATAAAAAAGAATTATGCAAAATATTCTTTTAATAATAAATACCTAAGTAAAACTTTTCCGACATGTGATTCCTCGGTTTCGACCGAAGCATCGTGCATAATACGAATATCATCGTGAACGTCAAATGTGAACAGAGGCCCGCTCTTTCCTCGTGACTAATTGCAATATTACATACATTAAAATAACATGCCAACATTGTGATATTGCTTCATAAGTTTTATCATTTAGTATATTTACCTTAGTTACAATAAAATCAGTTACAGTTGCAGTAAAACGTATAATGGTGCGGTAATATAAGATTCTCCTTGACATACATTAACTGATCTGCCATTACTGTTTTAAGCTCGCTGAATTCGGGCCTCAGAACTTCTAAACATCTCTGAAGAACCTAATAGATAGAATTACCTGTATGTGAAAATTTAATTTATGCAGCAGAACATTATATATCATGCCAATGTTACTCCAAAAGTGACACTGGAGTATTTTAATAACTTAAACGTTCTCTAAACCACTGAGACACCTTTCTTTCACCTTTCTTCATTATAACACTCCGACGATGGTCAGATCCATCCCAATAACTGAATGTGATCTCAAATTCTTCTTCCTTCAACGCGTTCTGCTTTCTAGCCCATTCTTGTCTCAATTCTTTCCTAAGTTTATTTTCCTCCTCGTCCCTTTCCCTATTATACTGGCAAAAAACATGTATTTACATCTGAATTTTTCTAAATCTTCTTAATCGCATGGCCATCAGATTGCACATTTTCTGACTGCGGGGATTTTTCGGCATTGTCTTCGTCAGAAGACATCTCAGCTTCATCTTTGTCTTCGTCCAGATTAAAAGACAAAGCTTGAATCTGTCTCTTCTGTTTGTTTTTTCTGTCTGCTTCGCCGCTAGTGCTCTTTCCTTTTCCTGCTCTTTTTCACGTTCCTTCTATCAAAGCATAAAATACACGTACAAAAATACAAATTACGAGATAATCAGGATCATAAGAAGATTGTAAGAAATTACTTGTGGGTATCAGGATTCGTGAATGTTCGCTCAATTTAACGGCGGATTTTCTCTTGCATTCCGCGTGACCGACGGTACATGCACATTTCGTGGCATTTAGCCTTAGCATCTTTGTGATATCGTCATCATGCATTAGGATTTTCTTCGTATCCTATCTTCTGAAGAAGCCCATCGAAAATTCTTGATATGTATGACTAGATGACATTCAGAGCACTAGGCAGAAATCACACACACATACACACACACACATATATATATATATATATATATATATATATATATAT